TTAGCAGAATGACTGTAAACGACCAGCAGTTCAACCAAGTAGCAGCCCCAATTCCAGCTGCCATGCCAAGCATTATATCATTGCTAACACAGGACAATACGACCATTTATTTCAAGAATGCAATATTTTCTATCCCAATGAAGAAAAGCAATTAGAAATGGTCTACATGATATAGACAGACAACAATATGCATTGACGCTTTTGCCCAGGGCTATATTAACTCTTTGTCTCTCTCATTATAATAGTCCAAAGAGATCTGAATCAAGTGGAAATTCTATGGTTTACCATATTGATCCTTCATATCAATGGCATCATGTTGATCAAAAAGGTTGAGCAAGAGCTGGCTAGCTTACTGGAGGTCTGTGCTCCAAAGAGCAGGAAACTAGCCCTATGAAGAATCAGAAACCTGTCCTTTCATCAAAGATTTTAAAGGACCAATATTCAGGAAATGCTAGATCATCCCCTTTAAAGTAAAAAATAAAAACTAAAAAATTTTTTTAAAAACTTGCTGCCTTTTGCATTCCCTACAACGGGGATCACAATCCTCAGGCCATGGACCAGTACCAGTCCCTGGGCTGTTAGGAACTGGCCACATAGTAGGTGAGTGAGTAGCAAGCTTGCAAGTGAAGCTTTGCTCAAATTGCTGCCTGAGCTCTGCCTCCTGTCTACCCCCTCTCCCACCCACCTCCAGTCTGTGGAAAAACTGTCTTCCATGAAACTGGTCCATGGTGCCAAAAAGATTGGAGACCACGCTCCTACAAGGAAGGAGAAAGCAGAGTTCGTAGGAGGCGGCTTTGGGTTCTGTGAGCAACATACTCCACAGCCAGGGATATTTTTCTGGCCCATATACCAGGTGACATAAAAAGCTGACAGCTTAACAACCTGGCAAAAGAAAGGGCTCTGTAGCAGTTCTAAGCAGTGGTGTAAGCACCTTTGACACTTGGGCTACAGGATCTGGCAGATCCTCTAATGATACAATTATCAGTTTTGGGGGGGAAATGCAGTATGGAGTTTATGGAAGTCTCAGAGAAAAATCCCAGTTCAGGTCCATAGGGTTCTGGAACAAGTTTGCATATATTTTAAGAATTAGCTCTTGACATGCTTCTGGTAAAGAAGAATTGCTGGACCATGGGCCATTAAGTGACATGAAATGAAATGTCTTGTTGAATCCACCATGTTAGAAATTTGGGGGACAAGAGCCAGGTGCAACTCATCACAAGATGAAAGTGTTATAGGGGTGGAAAACAAAGAAGACCAGAGAGTACAGTCTACATGAGCAAGTAATACAGACCTCGACATCACCACCTCAGTTACATCAAACTCCCTCTCAGCTCACACTGTTGCAATATCAGGTAGGAGTGGTGTCTTGAACAACAGCTGAAGGAAAAAAAAAAACAGCCAAGCTTAGGCTACAGATGAGTTGGCTAAGTATGGGGATGAAAGCTGAAATTGAATGGCAGCTACATTACAGCCCCACTCAGGAACAGAACTGAAAGTAGAAGAAAAGGGCAATTTCCTAATGGCAGAGCTGTAGATGCTGCACCTGGTCATCCACTTGTGTGGAAGGAAACAGGGCCTGATGTTGGAACACAAACAGACTAATAGGCAATGGCAAATAGCCTGGCTGGCCAGTCAGAGGTCTAAAGAGAAAGACGTTTAATAAGAGATTGCAGACAGGGAGGTTTTAGAGGGTTAGAGGTACATAGATAAACTACATACTGATGTGAAAGGTGGGCTAAAAGCATGAAGATCTCTTTATCACGTAACAATGTCCACCAGAAAGAATACATTATGGAAGAAGCACTGAACAACTACATAGACAAGATTCCTCACCTGGCTGGTGTTAGCCTGTCTGCCAGTGGCCATCCCAGTGCAGACATTGCACACGTGAATGAAAAGGTCATGGCAGTAAACAGAGAGTCTGTGTATGGGTCCATTATCATAAAACCCACTTACCACAGCTGACCAGTCTATTGCATCATCTGATAACTCGGCTTGACAACAAGAGAGGCCAGTATAGAGCTTCTAATATGTCATCATTCCTTTAGGAGATCAAGGAGCCACTTGGTGGCAAGCTAACTACATTGGGACTTTCCCATCCAGAAAGGGGCAGCAGTTTCATTTCATGGAAATAGGTGATGTATTTTGGATATGCATTTGCATTTCCTACCTACCAATCTTCATCCAGCACCACTATCTGGGGACTTACAAAATGTCTGGTCCACAGACATAGAGTGTAATACAATACAGCATCCAACCAGGAAAAACACTTCACAGCAAAGGTGGAGCAGGGGGTACCTGTGACCATGGCTTCCACTGGTTATAACACATCCTGCATGTTCCAGAAGCTGCTGGCCTAACAGAGCACTGGAATGCCCTGTCAAGGATGAAGTTCAAGAACATTCTAGGAAATAATAGCAAGAATGAGGTGCTGTTCCTTAGGATGTGGTACACCTTGATATGGCTCAGAGTCCCCAGTAGGAACAATACATGGGTCCAGGAAACAAGGGCTTAAAACAGAAATAGCCCAACTTCCCGTCACTCTCCATGACCTACTGGGAGAGATAGTGTTCCTACAACTCTGAGCTTTGTGGAAGTAGAGGTCCTATTCCCCAAAGATGGTAGTCTTGCCAGGAGACACAGCAAGAGTCCCACTGAACTAAGCTTCATCTGCTGTCTATCCCTTTGGCCTTCTTGAATTTAGGGATGAGTAGGCAGGGAGTAAACACCTTGGCAGGTAATGCTAACTCTGATCAGCAGGAGGAGGAAGGCTTGATGTTACACACTAGGGGAAAATGAGCATATGTGTGGCACTCAGGTGATCCACCTGGGCATCTCTTAAGACAGCCTTGTCCAATAGTCATTCTAAATGGGAAAGTGCAGCAACACCTGTCTGAGAACGAGATTATTACCAGGGGCTCAAATTTCTCAAGAATTAAGGTCTTCCCACAATCAGTTTACTCACTGAGGCCAGGCAGAGAGTGAGGAGAATGTAGAATGAACAATAGAAGTGCAATGAGTTCAGTCGTGACTCAAGACCAGTTGCAAAGATGGGGGCCATAGTTTGCCCACTAACTTCTCTCCTCTGGTTTCTCTTCAGAAAGAGAGGCCCACTGGATCCCTGTGGACACTATTCCCTTAATGTGTATGAAGAGTCGATCTACATGGTGTAAGGTGTGAACCGACAGGCACAGAGATGTGCTGCTCAGATGCTGCTTCAACAAAAGGCCCTTTTCCACACCTGGGAGGAGTGTCCTTGGATAACAACCTTTAACTCTTAACATTTTCAGGTCCATCTCAGGTCCAGAGTTGAGGCCACATTCTTCTTGGGTTGGCTCCACTCAATGGCTAATCAAGACTGTGTTACAAGGACCTACCAATTTGTCCCAGTGTGGGATGCTTACCCCTGCTCCATTCAGTTTCTTCCATTTCTTTTCATATTCTTTTTTAAAAAGATTTTACTTGTTTATTTTTAGAGGGGAAGAAAGAAAAGGAGAATGAGAGGGAAAGAAACATCAATGTGTGGTTGCCCCTCACGTGCACCCCACTGGGGCCACAGCCTGCAACCCAGTCATGTGCCCTGGTAGGGAACTGAACCAGAGACCCTTTGGGCCCACACTCAATTCACTGAGCTACACCAACCAAAGCCCTTTTCACATTCTTAACTCTATCTCACTGTTTGCTTCCTCAAGGACCCAAATGACAAACCTAGTGTTTTCCAGCTCCATTCAGCTCTGCTAGGTTCAACTCAAACCTTCCTATGTCTATTGGTAACTGTAGAGGTGGTCTGTGCTTTTTTCAGGTATGCATACAAATGCATACAAATTCACCTCCTGCACCTGTATTGGTACAACTGAAATCAACTTACTTAAATATCTTAAGGCACCAAAATGCACCTTTAACTATAGCCAAATATCTTAAAAATGAAAAAGAATGATAGTACTATTACATAGTAGGAATTACCTCAAATGCATCAAGTGTATCAACTGATTAAATTCTTGAAACTACTCTGTGGGTGAGTACTATTATTCCTATCTAACAGATCAGGAAACATGCCCCGCAGTCAATCGTCCACAAGTATATCAATAGATTCATAACTTAAACCTGAGTAGTCCAGCTCCAGTGTCTTTTTCCGTAATCATACACTCTTCTGCCTCTAGGAAACGGTTGGTAGCACCAGCACACTAAAATTGCAAAAAAGTGGTGTTTGTAGAAACCAGGCCTGGTTTGTAAAGGGTTGAGGAACATAAATTCATTTCCCAGTTGTTTCAGGGAAATATAAATCCCCAAACCGTTACAGGTAAGTGAACTCTAAGGTTTTGATACTACTGCAGAGTAAAGCCTAAGAAAACTCTTGGATTACCTCTGATTCCTGCACAAGCCGCTATTTCCACGTTGGCCAGGAAATCTCCTTATCCCCACCACGGCTCAGGAGCTGGTGCCTTGACCTAAAATAGAGGCATCTTTTTCTCTATAGAATTATCGTCTCCTCATTACTGTACTTTGTTTATGTTCCAACATTCTCCCATTCACTTTGGCCTTGAAATCTTGGAATTTAGTAGGCATGTAACAGTAATATTTTTGCTTTGATTTTCGGTCTAATTACTGTAAAAAGTCAGAAAAAAGATGTCTGCCCTTTTTGAGATTTTTACGGGAAATGACTATTGCGGTCTACTGTTTGCAACTACAAAGAAACGGTTTTAAAGTAGATTTTGTTTACACCTAATCACAACCAGGTCTCTGACCAGTCACCTGAATGTACTCTCTGGTGCTTATCCAAAGAAAAACTACAATTCCCGTCGTACACTGCGGCCCTCTCAGCCTAAATTACATTTGCTTGCGCCATTTCCACCCTCACAGGCGATGGGTGCTGGGCTTTGTAGTTTGTGTCAACTTGCTGTCTTCGGAAGGGAAAAGCGCGGCCGAACAGGCTTCTCTGAATCTGGTATTACGATACGGTTTTTAAAATAAATTATTAGATAACGTAACGAAGCCGATGTAGCGTCAGGGTTTTTTTGTATTTTACCTTCCCCCCTTTCTCCTGCCTGGGTAGGGAAGGGGAAGTGACGTACATCCGGTGTAATGGCGGCGCGGTGGAGTTCCAGGTAAATACCTGAGCCCGCAGACCCGTCACCTGCAGGGAGCCGGAGGGCGGGTGGTGGATTACCAAACCGGGTGGGAAGTGAGAGTGGACCCAGAAGTGGGTGCGGGCTTGCTGGTACAGCCGTAGGCGGCACTGGGGTGTGCGTGGCTCCTCCCGCCTCGCGGAGGCCCGCGAGGCTAGAGTGTGCGAACCGGTTGGGCGGGAGAGTCTGAGCGGGTGGGGAAGGGGCGGCGGTGAACTCCCCTTTCGCCTGCGCGGAGGGGTGTAGCTTCCTAGGAAAGTTCTTCAGTATCTTTGTTGCTGAAATCCGGCACCAGCGCTTGTTCTACCGTGTGCTGTGTTTCATTCGCCGATCATTTAAGAGCCTCTCGAGTCGTTTGGGCTAGAGGCCCCTTTCTCTCGGTCCGTAGGACATGGGATTGTATTTAATGAACTGCGTTTGATTAAAATAATTGCAAGTTACACTCATGTGCTTCGGCGTAGTTTCCCTGTGACTGCTTCTCTGAAATGTCAGTTGTTTCTTTTCATACATTTGCCCCGTAAGTGATGATTCTTCCTAGTGTTTAATCTTGGGAATTCTTTGTTCCTCAGTATGTGTTGCTCTTCCTCTGTCATTCTTCATCCTTCGGTAAATTGATCAACCTCCAAAAACGTGATAGCTCCCACACTTGGCCCTCTGGTCACCACCTTTCCGTTGAGCTCATGATCCCACAATACACTTGTATGTAATGGTAATATAATAGTTAATTCCACTAAGTCGAACTGCAACACTACTTTACCTATTTTTCACTTATAATCCTTACAACAATTACTTGAAATAAATGGAGAAGGAAAAAATGAGGAAAGGCTATTATTCCACATGCAGGACTGGTGACTGAAAGTGTGGTAGGAGTTCCCTTAGCAGGTGTCCAGACCAGAAACAGCAGATAAATAAACAAGGAAATTTGGGCTTCGGAAGACCAGGTAGCCTGCCTCCTAGTTATCTGTGTTTAGATTTGTCTTGTTTTAGGATTGTGAAGTGGAGAGTTAACCTGAATTAACTTTCTGCAGTGGAAAAGCAGACTTAGAATTAACATTAAAAGTGTGATTTTGATCAAAAGAAGCTTTGTTACAGTCAGTATTTGTACAAGGTGTTGGTGCTGCATGATGGAGTAGTAAGCCAAAGAGTTCAGCCTTGCTTTAGCATGTATGTAAGTCTGTTGCTTAGGGCAGATCACCCAACATCTTTGTTCTCAGCATCCTCATCTGAAAAAGGTGGATAATAGTGATACCTACCTCCGTGGGTTGTTTTGAGGATGAAGAAAAATAATGCATGTAAGGAGAGCATTGCACACAGTGAGTGCCTGGCATACAGTTTTAGCTGTTATGTTATTGCTACTTCTACGATATAGTTGACGAATTGTCTTTCTCACTTACTGTTTTGTGGTGCTGAGTGTTACCCTTCCACTTTTTTGTGCCCATGTCACTTTCATGGAGCCTTTTCCACATCATTTGTCTGGGGCTCTGAGACTTCAGATCCCAAGAACATTGGCCCAGTGGTTCTGAAAATGTGGTCTCCTGAATCACGCGCATTTATATTTCCTTGGAACTTGTAAGTAATGTAAATTATTGGGCTTCACCCCAGTTATGTTGAATCAGAAACTGGGGAATGGAGGGCCCTTCAGTCTCTTTTTTACCAAAGCATGCGATTCTCCTGCCAGGATCTGTTATGGTCCACTGCCACCCTGGAATCAGGTTTGCTGCCTTCCTTGCTACAAAGTATTTAGTCTGTGGCTAGCCAGTATATCTGTGTTATGCTGCCCTTCCTTCCCCACTTGGAACAATTTAGTTTCTGATACTTCCCAGACTACTTCACTGTCTTCCCTAAACCAGCTTTTGCTCTCTCAGTTTTCCCAGCAGCTAAATTCTTAGAGGTTAACTTTCCTCCCTTATGATTGTGCATTGCCAAGTGGTCCACAGTGGCTGTTGTACCCTGAGACCACCTAAGAGAGTACACAGTGACACATTGTATGTTTATAACCTCATGCCTTAATTTGCACATTATTCTCTGTGTATTGCCAGTCTGCATTTAGTCTGAGTTTTGTACTACCTGGTGGAACCCTAACTTGGTATAAATCAAGACCAGCCTAGAGGTAGTATAAGCCAGTGCCACTGATGACTGCGGGCTTGTTGCATTCCTCTGCTTTTCTGTTCAAGTCTGAGAATCCTAGCATGGGAAGGGAATGGAATAAAAAAGCCTCTGGCATAGTAGTTTCAGTGAACTTCAGACTTACTAAACCTATAGCATGAATATCTTATCTTAGTATATGCAGTTCCCAAGTTGACATGGAAGAGACATTTTAGTGCCTACAACAAAGTACAAACTTCAAAACATTTTCTTAAAAAATAATACCTCAGATGGAAGGAATGGATTAAAGCAGGCCTTTTCCATTTGTTGCCAAGCAAATAAGTCTTTCCCAGTGAAGAAATACCAAAAGGATAGTATGGTCTGCTTTGGCCTGGGGACATATGGGCACCTGTCACTCAACGTAGGTTAGCTAATGGGAAGGAGAGACCCTGTTGAGATTTATGTTTAACTTGACTTGGAGCCTAACTCATGAACGGATATGGCTAAACAGAGTTCAGCACTTCCACCTGAAAAGTTGCCTTGAATGTCCTTTCCTGAATTAGTTTTATTATGACAGTTTTTTATCAGGACAGCTGGTGATAGGAGCCTCTGTCGTGGAATGTAATGGTGTGTGCCTAGGGACTACACAAACCTCTGGAGGCCACTGCCGTCAGCTTTTCTTTAAAACTTAGAATATGGCTCTTGAACTAGATAGGTAGAAAGCCCACTTTCAGAACTGTGCTGTGAGAGAATTGGCAGAACATATCTACCCCATATACTTAATAGGGCAACAGAATTTTTGGGAATGGGAGCAAAGCTGTATGAATGTTGAAGGCATAGGACACACTTGATAATGAGACTTGTTTCTATAAGTTGAAGTAACAGCACCTTGAGGTCCTGTTTCCTCTTTCAGTGCCATCAAAGGAGCTTTTCCCCCTCCCATCTCCATAGGGAGGTTTATTCAAGCTGCTCATCAAGAACTGTGGGGTGAAGACAAAGAGGGGTTGGCACCTTATAGTGCGGTGTTGATGCAGTTTGGTGATAGACAGTTTGGGGATTCCTAGAAGTGGGGGCTGATAGGTGGAACGAGGTTGCTGGGGTATTCTTTGGAAAAGAAGTTGTCAAACTATCATTATAGGGAGTTCTGTGTAGGAAGAAATTGGGAAAATCACCAAAAGTCCACACACCCTCTTTTATATTTAAGTTTAGAATTGGAACCTACTAAGTAGCAGACAGTCTTGGGTTCTGGATATAAAGCAGTGACCAAGAACTTCAAGTATTCAGTATTCCCATACAAGTTGTTTTATGCTGTAGCTTCACAAATCTCTGTGTTCCATCTCATTATTGCTTAATCTCCTGTATGCACACTGTACTCGATTCAAACAACTGAATCTCCTAAATCAGCAGTGTTAAACTCATTTTCACAGGGGGCCACATCAGCCTTGCGGTTGCCTTCAAAGGGCCTAATGTAAATTTTAGGACTGTATAAATGTAACTACTCCTTAATTAGGCACAAGGAGCTCGGCACTGCTGCCGGGTAGAAGCACGGTGCCCTGCTAATAAAACAGGGTGAGGGGCAGGATTCTGTCAGCTGGGCCTTGTGTTTGCCACCTGTGCCCTAAATTCTTTTGTGTCTTTGAGTCTTTATACATGCTAATCTCATTTCCTTAGTGACCTTTTCCCCCTTTCCTACTCGTCCTTCAAGATTCAGGTTCAAGACACACATCTTTCTTTATGCCCCAGACCCACATACTTACTTGCAGTTCCTCTTTTCCAGTAGTATTGTGTTTGTGATGCTGCTATAACACTTAGACTTTTCTCTGCCTAGAGGAAAGGAACTGCGATCTCTCAGACCTCAGTGCCTTGTGTGTAGTGTAAGGTATACATCACTTACTATATGCACAGACACTACCTGTAACCCTCTAAGCTTAATTTGTTTCCAGGAGTAGGGGGTAAAGAAAAGAAGGAAAAGATCACGACCAAAGTGCTCTTTCTCTTAAACTTATACTTTATTTTCTCTGTAAGTACTTTTGTGAAGCACTTAGTAATAGCACTATCAATTATGTCCCCAGCCTCATCTTTTTTGTTTGTTTGTTTTCCTGTTTGTCCTGGACAAAATTGTTTAATTTTTATGATCTCACAAAGGAGTCTCAAATTCACAAATACATATTTTAACATAAAAATGAAAAAGGCAGCATTCAGCGGGTGACTACAAGCATTGGACCTATTTCTTAGCCACAAGGCATATATTAAGTAAAATGGTGAGGGTTATGTTATAGGTTTTAAATTTAAGGTCTTGGCTCTTCCTTGTTATGAAAATGGGTATAAATTGACTTAATCACTAGACAAAGAAAACCCATGTAAATAATATTTGTTCAGTGAATGAGATGATAGGGCTAATGAGGAAAGTTAAATCTTTTTGCCACGCGGTTGAGCTGTAAACCGAGGGATGTGTGGGGAAACTCGCAAAACAGGGTGGCTTTAGGAGGATCTAGGTACATGCGATTGAGGGTCCGGTAGCAGTGGAGATGTCCCTTAGGACTTGTTTTTATTCATAACTAGAGGGACTGTCACAGAAAAGCTTCTATAAAAGAATAATATGTGGAGATAAGATTGTTGATACAGTAGACATTGAGACAAAATTTCCATTTTAAAAAGTTATAGAGGGAAATTTGGAAAGTATAGAATAATGTTGCCTATATTGTAGTGGAATGTGCTTTTAATTTAAGGCCTGGGTTTTCCTGAGGGCAACTTTGTAAATATTTAAAGGGTCTTTTTGCCCCGCATGGGTGGAATACAGTGGAGCCCTACCTGTTAGTATGCATATATAACTTATATTTTTTAGAGGCAAGTTGCAAAAGTTTTTATAGCTTAGAGATAAGGAAGACCTTGTG